GGATCGGAGAATGTGGTAGCTGACCACCTTAGCCGATTGATCACTAACTCCAATACCGAAGAAGATACTCTTCCTCTTCGTGAATCCTTTCCTGATGAGCAACTTTTTGCATTGCAAGTTTCTGACCCATGGTATGCTGACATTATCAATTTTCTTGCTACAGGAAATATACCCAAGGACTTATCAAGAGGGCAAAAGGACAAATTATTGAAAACCACCAAGTCCTATGTGTGGGATGACCCATATTTGTGGAAGTATTGTTCGGACTCCGTGATTAGGCGATGTGTTCCCGAGACCGAATTTCAGTCTATACTCACATTCTGTCACTCGGACGCATGTGGTGGCCACTTTGGAGCCAAGAAGACAGCATTAAAAGTTTTGCAAAGTGGATTCTATTGGCCAAGCTTGTTCAAAGATGCCTCAAGATTCTGTCTATCTTGTGATAGGTGTCAACGAATGGGAAACATTTCATCTCGAAATCAAATGCCTTTAAATCCAATTCTAATTGTTGAAATATTTGATGTATGGTGAATAGATTTTATGGGACCATTTCCTTCATCTTTTGGAAATCTATTTATTCTACTTGCGGTTGATTATGTTTCAAAATGGGTGGAAGCAATTCCAACCAAGTCTAATGATTCAAAAGTTGTTCTTAGCTTTCTTCGAGCCAATATATTTTCTAGGTTTGGAACGCTGAGGGCCATCATTAGTGATGGAGGATCCCATTTTTGCAACCGATCATTTGAGACCCTACTCAAGAAGTATGGCATAACTCACAAGGTGTCCACCCCGTATCATCCTCAAACCAGTGGACAAGTGGAGATTTCCAACAGAGAGGTGAAGCATATATTAGAGAAGACTGTTGGTCCTACTCGAAAGGATTGGTCTATGCGCCTTAACGATGCTCTCTGGGCCTACCGAACTGCTTACAAGACTCCAATTGGTATGTCTCCATTTCGCTTAATCTTTGGTAAACCTTGTCATCTACCTGTCGAACTTGAACACAGGGCCCTTTGGGCAATTAAGAAGTATAACTTCAACATGAAGGAAGCAGGAGATCACAGAAGGTTACAACTGAGCGAACTGGACGAGCTTCGAAATGATGCTTATGAGAATGCCAAAATTTACAAAGAAAAAACAAAGGCGTTTCATGATAAGCATATCATTAGAAAGTCGTTTGAAGTAGGGCAAAGAGTATTACTCTTTAACTCTAGGTTCAAACTCTTTCCAGGTAAGCTTCGTTCCCATTGGACTGGCCCATTTGTCATTACTAATGTCTATCCTTATGGTGCAGTTGAAATCCGACCAATTGGCATGGGAAAGGAATTCAAGGTTAATGGGCATAGGTTGAAAATCTACCATGAAAATGCTTTGCATCAAGAACATGAAGTACTCCACTTCATTGATGTACCTGCTGTGGTGCAAAACTAAGTTGGGAAGGTGAGTACTTAAATAAATAAATAAATAATAAATAAATAAATAAATAAATAATAAAAAACGACCGGTCGCTGTTCCATTGCGACCTGTCGCTCTACGCGAATTGTCAAAAAATTGAATCTGTGTAAAAATGACCGGTCGCGATTCGCGTAATTCTCAATTTTGAATCTGTGCAAAAGCGACCGGTCGCTCGTCGCGATTTTTTTAAAACGCCGCCTCTGTTTTTCTTCTTTTCTCTCTTCTCTCTCCTCACTTTCTTCTTATTTTTTCCAGATTCTCTCTCTTTCCCTTCGACTCCTCTCTTCTCCCTCCCTCTAAATCACTCAAAACCCACTCAACTCTTCACTCAAATCACACTTTTCTCACTTGATTTTTCGAGCAGAATCCATTTTTGGCATCTATTCTTTGAAATTTCAAGTGTTTCATCAATTTTGGAGAGAATTTCAGTTAGGGTTTCAATCCCCCCAAGGTAATTTTCGAATTTTTTTCATGTTGTTTCTCTTTGATTTTCTTACTCTAATTGCTTTTCTTATTACTTTTTCTTGTTTCTAACTTGTTTTTATTTGTTTTTCTTTTGAATTGTGGCTTGTGGTTGTTTGTGGGTTTTGCTAAATATTGGGTATGATTTCTCAATCTCCATCTCTCAATTTTGATCATTGTTGTTAATATTTGTGTTTATTGTTGAATTTTGGCATTGTGATTGAACTTTGAAACTATGATTGAAATTCTGGCATTGTGGTTGATTTTTGGTATTGTTGTGGCATATTGAATGTTTGGGAATTGTGGCATGATTTTTGTTGTCTTGCCTTGTGCATATTGATTTATTTTCCTTAGATGTCTAGAGCTACAAAGGGTACCAAAAAGGGTGCATCTTCTTCACGAAATGCACCTCAATCGGAAGAGGCAATTCTCACTGCCACTGTGGTTACTGAGCGTAACCTAGACCTTAGTCCCTTCATCCAATCCACCGGACTTATTCAAGTCCAACACCTTCTTACGGAAAGGAACCTTTTACCTTTAGCTCGTATCTATAGAAAATATAATGAATCTTTTGTGCGAGAATTTTATGCTGCTTTCCCTAGGGTGGAGCCTAGAGATAATGAAGATGTGCCCATTAAGGTTCGGGGCAAAAATGTTGACCTTTCCTCCTCTATTATCTCTGATGTTCTTAACTTGCCTGAGAGGGATACTTATGAGTGGAAGCAATATCTGGGTAGAGATTTTGACTTGCAAAGCGCAGCTGAAACACTTTTTTATGCTGACCCAGCTGCCTTTGCATCTCAAACCAAAAAGAATGTCCTCATTCAGGGTAAGTTGACACCATACTTTGCCATCCTGTGGAGCTTTGTGCGCCACAACATCTACCCATCCGGCCAACAGTCGGAAATTCCCACAGTAGGGGTCAAGATCCTGAAAGTTTTGCATGAGGGAACTTTTTGAACGCTTAAAGGCTTGTGCACGTAAGAAAAGCATCATTTATTATCCTTGCCTTGTTAGCACGATTTGCACACGCTCAGGTGTTCGGGCTCGCTCTAATGATATATTTGTTGAGCCTATGGGTCCCATTTCGGACACTTATGTGTCCAAGAGTATCTCTCATAGGCGCAATGCACTCGCACCAGCTCCAGTGCCACCCCATATGCCACCACCACCGCCACACAGGCCGGCCTCATCACAGCCATTCCCACCTGCTCCCAGTGTCGACATTTCTGCTTGGGACCCCTATCTCCAAGCCATTTGGGACTTGCAGATGCTTCAGTACCAGCATATGCAGCAGCAGCAGCAGCACATGCAGCATATGAGCACCTCCATTGATGCCATTTGGACCCACCTCCAGATGCCGAGTCAACCCGGGACCGCTGCACAGGGTAATGTTGTTGATGATGATGATGATGGTGATGATGCTGATGATGTTGAGTAGCATTGAGAGTATTGTACCCTTTTGAACTTTTCTTTTATTTTGTTTTTGGGTTTTATTTAAGACAGTTGTTAGTTTTTTTATTTCAACTTTTATTGTTAGTTCAACTCTTTTGTTTACTCTTCCTTTTATTTTGTGATTATCCATCCCAACTTTTCTATATGACATGATCTGATCTTAAATTTTCATCCTTCCTAAACAGTGTTTCATACAAGTTTGGGAAGTGATTTTGATTCATAATTGCACAATCAGAAACGGGACTCGAATGCTTATTTCATTTCTTAACATATGATTACAAATATAAACTTGAAAACGCATACATAAATTCCGGAATCACATGTTTCTTTTGCATTTTGGGCCACCTGAGGCTCCTGCTAATTGCCTCTATTTGCTCGCACTTGTAGAATCTGAAGCAGCTCTACATGGTCCTCAATTTTCCCCTGCAGTGTTTCTATCTGCTGGTTAGCACTGTAGAGCCGCTTTTGCAAGTCTGCCACTTGAGCCTTCAGGGCAGCCACTTCCTCACTCAGAGCTCCACACTCTCGCGTTCTTGCTAGTAGGCGCAAGCCTAGATTTGTGGCGGAAACCGCGTGTTGCACGGTTAAAGTGTGGGACTCCTACACTGCCACATTGTCCGACCGCTGTGCCACATGCAGATGCACCACCGGTGTGAGTCTTCTCACAGTTATGCCTTCCGGCAGTACAGCTCTTATTGGCACGGCCTCAGAGAAATTCGAGGCCGAGCCATGATGATAAGAAGAGTTTGGGAAGACAAGGGTTGGAGGAGCCCTTATCTGGGCATTTGGTGGTGCAAGTGATAACTCAAGGTTGAGGTCATCAATGAGCATAGCTGAGGATGCCATTGTTTTTGTTTCTGGATTATTTGATGGTTTTCCTTGAGTTTGCAGGAAGAAATGCAGGGTATCATCAGTTTACGGAGGCGTGGTTTAAATAGACATATGCTGATGAGAGATTTGCGGAACAACTGTTTGCCCTTTTCTCTCGATCCTTCCGCTTCACGAGCAATTTGCCGTTCGCGTCCATTACAGGGGAGCATTTCTATTTTCACTTCTTTTTTTCCCCCTCCCTGTTTTCTGGTGCAATTTGTTTCGCATGTCCTTTTTCTTCTTTTAAGTTTGTCGTCTCTGCTTTATTTCAGTTGGGAAGTGTGTTTTGTTTCTTTTTCATTTGTCGCATTTCCTTTATTTTAGTTTGGGAAGTGTGTTTTCTTTTTCGTTTGTTGTCTTTGTTTTATTTAAGTTTGGGAAGTGTGTTTACTTTGTTTTTGTCTTCGTCTTTTGCAACTTTCTTTTTGTTTGTGCCTAATAAATCACGGCCATAAGTTGGCCGAAGGAGCCCTTTCTCTCAGCCCTGGCACTTGTTCGCAGAGGCTGAAACGCAGCGTTTCGCCAGGGCATTTCGCCTTCCTTAAAGAATAAAAGAGGAAATGCTAAGGCATGATCATCTCGGCCTCAAAACGTAGGCCGAGGCCGAGGCCGAACAAAATTGCGGCCAAGGCATTAAAGGCAAATCATCACGTGACAACAGGGTCCCAGGCTTCATTTAATGAAGTAGTGCCTGTTTAATGCAGCGAACCCATTGGCCACAAAGTAGCATTCAATGCATGAGGAAAGGTGGGAAGTGACTGAAGTCAGGATTTGGTGATGAAGATCAGGGTGATTAGACGTGGACATTCTCACAAGGATTCTGACAGCTTGAGATGTTGGTTCACCAGCTATCCATGCCATAAATGCGTCTCCACGGCCAGAGGTTCAGAACCCATGATCGAGAGCGGCGGCCGAGATTCACCGGGATTTCTGGAGTCTCACCACCATACTTCACGATCCCAAATGTCGATTGGACTGCCCGCTTGCGCTAATCAGACTCCACTATGCGTAAATTCAGCCTCGATTACTCATCCAGGGACTCTGCCTATAAATACAAGACTCGAGCTACATTCAAAGGGTTCAACACCAAAACAAGCCTCCCACGGAGCAACTTATTTTTTCCTGTAATGCACTTTCAATATCTTTACTTGCTTTCCTAGGAGTAGTGTTAGATGGTAAGCAGAATCCATTCATCAATATATCATACGACCCTTGATCTTCAAGGCGCCGGAGCACCATCTTTGTTTGTTCGTTCATTCACCCCATATATCATACGACCGTCGCTCCCTGAGCAGCGCGCTGGAGCACCGCCCAAAATCCACCACCAACACCATCACTCGACGGCCTTGTAGTTCAGGCCATGAACCTAACAGCCGAGACCAGTTCCTCTCTCGGCTACAATCGTTTGACCAGGAAGACAGATCAAACAGGCGCAACATTCATCCATCCAACACTCATCGAAACTCAGTTGGGGAAGTGTGATTTGTTTCTTTTTCGTTTGTCGCATTCCCTTTATTCCAGTTTGGGAAGTGCGTTTTGTTTTTCTTCTTTGTCCTTTGCAACTTTCTTTTATTTTATTTCTGAAAACGAGAAATGAAAAAAAAAAATACAAGGGAAGGGCAACACAAACAGGCACACCAATAATACACTAGAATCACTTTTTCACAGTGCTCGGTGTCTCGACCATAGGAGCTTTCAGTTTGGCCCTATGGCTGTCCTCTTCTGGGTTTTCACGCACAGCCTCTTGGGGCTCATCACTCGAGCTCCCAAAGATCGCACTCTTAGCTTGAGCATAACTTCTCTCGCGCTCTGCTTGCTTGCGTTTACCCGGTCAGTCTAGGTCCTCCAGCTACTTTCTCATGTCTCGAGAGTACAACTCTACCATCTTTGATAGGTTTTTATTCTCGTCCCGCAACGCTTCCAGCTGATGTCGATTCACCTCTACTATCCTTGCCCTCTCCCTTTTCAGGCTTTTTATAATACTCTGACATTCCTCAACCAAACTCCGCTCCGCCGCCAACTGACCCCTCAGTATCTCCACCTCATGGGACTTCGCAAGTAGGCGATGCCCCACACTTGCGACTGTTGCCGTACTTTGCACGCTTAGTACTAGGGCGTCGCTCACGACCCGGTTGTCATCCCTTGTCCCCAGCACACGTATATCTTTGGGAGTCACTAAATTTCTAGCC